TATTCCAGCATTGCTCGAATAAAAATGGAAGCGCGACGCTCGTCAAAAGTAATCGATGTAGAATAATTTCCTGCCACACGTCGAAGACGTTACATAAGCGAGCGTTTCAGTTTCACAGCGACCTTTAGGGCCGAATCGCGGATCGCGGATCACGATTGGCGAGGATTCACGAGCGAAGAGAGTCGCGCGTTAGCGATGCAACTTTCCTTGTTCCTCCTCGACGAGAGGTTTTTGGAATACCAATGTTACCATAGAATACGACTTGAAACGTCGTATTCTGCATAGCATTTTGTTTCGTCCCGGCGAGTTCTTTGATCGCGCAACAGCGCCCGATTCGGCGGAAGCCGTTCGAAAACTTGGCCGGTTCTGCGAAGGAAACTTTCTGTCCTGGAGGCGCTGCCGGCGACCGCGACAGTAGCAGTCGAGGAGTCGACAGAGCAGACCGCGCGCAATACCCTCCGCTCTCGGTTTATATAATAAAAGAACCAGCCTGGCGTTCGCAGCCGTGTCGCGAATTACCGACACGCGAATTCTATTCGTTGCGCAACCGTCGTACAAGGCATTATTCTAGGTTAAATAATATTATGTCACGGAGGAAAGCCTGTCTACCTGTAATCGAACACGCGTAACATGCTGTCTTCCATGAGATCAAACACAAATCTCTTCCCTTTCTGTTTCTATCTTTCTTTCACTGTTCGCAGCTTGTGGAGAGAACGAAATTGATTGAAGCTATAACGATCTCTGGACTGATGCTGAGAAGCTGTAAACACCGCAGCGGATCGACTTTCTGCTCGATAGAAGAGCCGAAGAAGTAGCGCGCCAGAGTGAAAGAAAGGAAGAGATAAGCGAGGATGGCACAACTCCCTCGCTTCTGCAGCTGGTGCAATCGAGTTCTTTCGCATTGGGTAACGTCTGACGTAACCGCAGAAACCGGAGGAGACCGTGGAAAACCGGTTCTCCCGAATTTTGCTATAAAGCCGCGACAATATTGAAAAGCCGAGGAACGAAACGCGATGATTAATCTTTCGATTTTTCGTGGATCGGCCCCCCCCCCTCCCCTCTTTGCGTTTAGCAAAGGAATGCTAACGGCCCTTTGTGCACGCACACCTTTTCCGGGACACAACGCGAAGCGGTGAACCCTTTGGTGATAATTCTTCCGCGTACACGAGGCCGCGGAAAACAAAACCCGATCACGTAGGTGCGCGCATGGGCGTGAGTATGCTCGCGACAACGTGTCCCGTTTTTGAAATCGCCCCTACGTGATCGAGGTAGATCCGCTTGAATTTCTCAGGAGGCGCGCGCGATTAGCAATCGGCCGTGCGGCGACTCTGCCAAAGATTACCAACGAGTTACGACCCGATATTCCCCGTCGGTTTTTCTTTTTTTCTTTTTTTT